AGTTAAGCTAATTTTCGTAGAGAATTAAGGAATCCTAAAATTTCGGAACCGAAAATACGATAAAATTCTCACTTTCCTAAAACTTTCAATTGGAAGCTAAATTTTTCGGGAAAATAATGCTGAAGCCCTTGTAATTTCGAAAAGACTGAAGTTGTCCTGGGATGCTAGGATGCATTTAGGAGGAAATCGCCGTCAGGTGCCCCTGACGAACGAAGCGCTATCAATCATAATTTATGTGAAGATATCTCCTTACGCTATGCTAAGACGAATCAAGCGCTGTTAACGTGTATTATATCTCGTTCTTCACAGGACGAAAAAAACAAGAATCTGTAAACTAAAAACACTGTAGAATGAGGGAGGATCGCGGGCAACTTTTTTTTGAATTTTGGGCGACAAAACTCATATTATCAGGTTTTGGACGACATAACTTCAAACGACATCACTTTCAAGTAGCTTGACCGTCACCCCTTTAGATCGAGCTCGATGAATTAATTCAATGACCGCTTAAATAATAGTCTGCTACACAGCCGTTTTCAGTGGAAGGAGCGTTGCGTGACGACATTAAAACGGCCGCCGGTAGCAGACTATTTAAGACACTTAAATAATTGTAGGCGGTAATACCGGCTGATGGCGGTAAATCGGTCGCCGTAACTTCATACGCGAATGTTTGTTTAGATGGTTGTAAAACAGACGGCAATTACAAGAACGACAACAGGATGATTACGGAATTTGGACAATAAGGCTGAAGCATACGCGATGTGTAAAATTTCAACAAGAACAAATTTGCATACATTGTTTAAATTCCGGTTTCGCTTTTTGTGTTATTGTCGGCCGGATCAATTAAGCAACGTTGAAACCGTTTTGGAATTTTGGTACATCTAGAAAAGCAGGCTGGTTTTCATTTGATCAGTGCGATCATTGCAATCGCTAAAAAATAAATACAATTTAGCGATCCTGGCACTTGATGATTTCTATTATATTTGATCGCGATTGCTGCGATCGGCAAGAAAGTGTCTTAAGTCCGAAAGATCACTGTTTCTGAGAAAATTGCAAATGTGTTTTAAATTAAGGAAAGTTAAGATAACCTTTGCACAGCTTCGTCAGTAAACATTTCTGGAAAGAACTTTGATTTTGCAATGCTAATATAGTTCTACCCATAAATCCAGTAGGTCACACAGTTCACTGTTTATACTTTTCAAGCGACAACCGTTTTTTCAATCACATACTATCGCTGCGATCGCTGAGGTATAACTTTTTCTTTCTCGATAGTTACCAAAAAAGGGTGCCGTTCATAATCATTTACGGTTCCTTTTTGTAGAGGAAATTTATTTAGCTTATAGATAACACGCCTTGCGTGCTTTTGCGCACACTGAAAGCGTGTTGTGCTTTTTCGCACGGAGCTTTTGTTTGAAAACTTTAACACGCTCTTTTGTTCGACTGGCTCATTCTTAATTGTCTCAAGCGTGTCCTCTGAAACAAAAGAAATCGCTAATGAGGCAAGATTGCAAGCGTGCTAAAGCGTGTTAAAATAAATTCTTTTGTTTTAAAGTGAAAGCGTGTCGTGCGCGTGCTTTCACCTTTAGCATTAAAATCCTGTGGAGGGTCACATTTGTTCCATCCGGGAAAGTTCTTCTTTGACCTTTGTAAGAAGGGGTACGGGAACTCTCCTGGGAGTACTGAGTGCGAATGGTTTGGCCTCGGGTTTCAGCTTTATGACGTAGTCAGGACCTCGAAGTTTTCCAAGTCCAGTGAAAAGTCCTGGAAACTTTGCATTGAGGTTTGTGGCTTCCACAGCATCAACCTTTTGTACTATGGCAAGAGTTTCTATAGCTGGACGACCAAGCAGGGCGTTGCGGGCACCGTTCACTACGAATATCTCCTGCTCCGTTGTTTTGTCTCCTTTCTGGATTTTTCCCACAAAACATCCACGCACAGGGAGTGAAGTATGAGCTGGACCAAACAATGTCTTGCTTGATTTTACGAGGGTTGGAGTCGGTCGTAGCGCTTCGTAGATCTTATCAGGGATTACGGTCACGTCAGCTCCAGTGTCAATCTTGAAGCGAACTTCTGCGTTATTAAGCATCAGATCTACTGACCAAAAGGTGTTGTTCGTTTCAGTTCCTATTTCACCAAGAAACAAATTTTCATCTTCTTCCACTTCGCCAACCGTTTTGGACGATTTACAGACAGTTCCCCAGTGGCCTCTCTTTGAGCACTTGAAACAAGTTGCGTCTTTAGCTGGGCAGTTCGCTCGCTTGTGAGGCGGGAGATTTCCGCAGCGTTCGCAGCGTGTCGAAGAAGGCTGAGAAGGCGGTTTCTTTAGCGGTGTTTTCTTAGGTTTCGGCCCATTTTCATCCTTGAGTTTCGGAGGGTTCTTTCGTGTTACCTTGACCGCGTCGACGTTTTTCTTTGCATCTTCAGAATCCTTGAAGTCGTTTCTCAAAAGGGCTTGTTGCTTCTTTACAGCTTCGCTTTGTCGAGCATGATTGATCGCTTTAGCCAGAGATAATTCCGGGTCAAGTTGGAGTTTCTCCGATAATTTTGAGTCTTGAAGGCCCACCACAATTCGGTCTCGGATCATCTCGTCCTTTAGGGTTCCGTAATCGCAGTATTCAGCGAGTGCGTGCAGCGCTGTAATAAATGTGTCAACAGTCTCGCCATCTTCTTGGCGGCGCCGATTGAACTTTGCTCGCTCAAAAATAACATTTCGGCGAACCACAAAGTGTTCATCAAACTTCGTTTTAACGGTGTGATATTGTTTCTGCTGCGACGTGGAAAGTTTGAAGGAGGTCAAAATATCGTCTGCTTGATCTCCCATAGCGTAGATCAGCGTGTTTATTTGGCTCTCTTCTTCTTCTTTCGCCAGGCCAGACGCTTGGCGGAAACGTTCAAATCTTCGGCTCCATTTCGGCCACTCTTCTTGACGACTGAAATCAAACTTTTCCGGTAGCTGGACTCGGAAAGATGTCATGGTTCGTCGATCCCGCTTCTGACACCATGTAATGTTATTGAGAGGCGAAACAGGCTAGAACACAACAGCTTTAATCGAGCTCGTACAAGTACAAGGAGCACATGGTGAAACAGCCCGCCCGCTAAGACTAATGGGACATCTAAAGCGATTACATCACACTTAACTTCTCAGAGACCAAAATTAGTGGCATGGTACCAGGAAACTTAAGACATCAGCAGAACTGTTTCATGCATTATAACTGCAAACAGGATTTACTCTCCGGAATAAGCTGCTTTAAAAGCAATGGAAAATACTCTTTGATCTTTGATTAGAATAAAAATTTCAAAACTCAAACTGACAGAAAATTGTCTGCTGAGTTTTTTTTTTTCACATTCAACATACTTCAAATGGTCATGACAACTTTACTGTAAGGGAAAAAAATACTTGCACCTTCTATACAATCAGTCAATTATATCGACATGATGAAATCTTTCCTTTAGTAAATCAAGGAGACTTTCTGGAGTGTCAATACCTCCCTTTGAGATTTTTTTCACCAAACTGCTGTTTGATTTGGTACAGACAGGGTTTAAATGGTACTGCCTTGATCCAGAGGTCAATATAAAACAACTGGCATTCTTATTCCAAAAATAATAAGCCTCATGCCTGGCAAGACAGTACTGGGAATCTTCATCCTGGTTGAACCTGATTACAACGCTCTCAATCTCTTTACTGCAACCTGCACACTTTCTTATGCCTCCTGCAATCCGCTTAACGACTAGGGGAGAGGTGATTGGGGGATCATCTGGCCTATCACTTCTGCGAATGACAATCTTTTTTGGATCCACCTTTTCAACAGAAAGATGGTCGGACCATTGATTTCTATCTTCTGAAAGGTGGGGTGTACATGAAACTGTGTTTGTTGCTCTCTTTCGTGGGGGGACTTTCCTACCCACTCCCTTTGGGGCATTGTTTGTTGCAAGGTTATTAAGGTTTCCGCCAGGATAACATTAAAGGAGGCCAGGAAGCCTGTCTTTGTGCTTAGCAATTGCCAGAGCATGAAAACACAGGTTGTTTCTGGCAAAAAATGGACATGAACACGTTGTCTTCCCACTCTTGTAACAAATTGCTTTATGTGGAACAGCAAAACCACTATCCACAAAGAAACTGCCATCTTGGAAGCCTTCTCTGAAGCGCCTATTAGCTATCAAAGCATCTGCCTTCACTGTCAGCCCTGATATCTCTTCACTGCTAAAGTGCTGCCTTAGACTATTCACAGAATCTGAAGGGAATGTTCCCACTTGGGATTGGTCTTGTTTCTTAAAGAGATTTTAAAAAAAACTCTTTAAGATACATGTACAGAATGAAGCATCAAGAAAAACTGTTCTAAAAAAAACACAAGATAACAATTCAAAAGCACTTCTCTGCACGAATGCCATATTGAAAAAGACAAGAGTTGTCGCAATCTCGTCTAAATGTTATTTTTGTCTTTGTCTTGTCCTTTTCACTTCACTTTTTTTTTTTTTAATGTGATGTTTTTTAAAGCGCCTAATTACAAAAATATAACCTATCGTTCCCTTGAAGTCCTAATCACTGAGCATGCAACAGTAAAATCACCTACTTGCATGGCTACCAAAGTATAAAGGATACATTAGTGCTTGGCCCAACCTCTTGTCACATGCAGAATGCAAAGATGTTTATGTAATCTTTACTATACACAGTGCAAGAATCTGCACTGAAAGGCTGTTCAATTTATACAAAATGATTTTCACCATGATTACAGCACAGAAATTATTTGAATAACCATCACTATCTCTCTTCTCACTGGCTGATTTAATTAACACCACAAGGGCAAAGCTACAAACTCCACAGCTTATTTGGAGGCTTTTTAAGTTCTGAATGTACAATACAACAGCAATGCCTTACTTCAGCAGTTAACGTTTGATGTTGGTGTGTAAACATACAATCAGTCTAATCTTTTGTTATATTTTCTACCAGCTATTTGTACCTTTACGTTGCTGGCACCTGATTGTGCTGCAGGCAGCTTGCTTTCAAACTTAAACGACCGACACTTCTTATAGGCAACTGCATCTGGCCTGATGCGCCGCACCCTAGACATTTCTGTCTGACTCTCTTCTGGCGAGAGGCTACTGAATGGTTTGGGGCGAAGGTGCTGAAACTCTTTTCGTACTTCCCATTTCTCTGAGAGGCCAAACCACGCTAGCTCTTCCTCCTCATTAAAACTCTGAACTAGATCATAAAGGGCAAGGATCAGCTTGTCCATTTCTTGCGGCTTGAAATTATTCCAGTCTTTGAGAAGACCATTCACTGATTCAGGGATGTTCCGGTTGTATGGGCCATCACCCACTCCCAAGTCCTTGACCACAAACTTGCACATTTTACTCTTCATATCTTGCTTCTTGTTTTCCAAGAAGTATGTAGAGAATTTGGGCTCTCCTTGGCGCTCACTCCTCTCAAGTGAATCCCATTCTTCAACAAGATGTGATATCTTTTTTTTCAAATTCTGTTTCAGACTGAGACCACACCAAGCCACCTCTGCCAAACAAGTCACTACAAGAACGCCTTGTTAGCCTCTCTGACAAACCAGTTTGTTTCATTTTTCTGCTGGACATTCTTCTCGCAGTGAATGTAACGTAGGAGGTGAAATGACCCATGAAAACCTGCAGCAAGGGCGTTAACTAGAGCATCCTCATTGTCTGTTCCATAAACATGGAGGTATTGTGCAAAACCCGGGACTTCTCTAACTAGTCGATGGACAAATGACAGATACGTTTGATAGTCTTTCGTCAGGCAGATCATCATAGGACCCAAAAAGGATGGTGAACACCTCCTGTCCTTTACTTCAAGTAGAGTGTTTTTGTAACTTGTCACCAGAAGATAAAATGGTCCAAGCTGAAAGGTCAAGTCCACCCCAAGTTCTGAAACAAACTCTTCCTTTTTCAAAGAACAAAACTTGACAAGATTGTCAATCTGCTGGTCAGTGAACAAAATAACTGTTGGTAAATCATTACAAACCACATCACGAATGAAACCTGGTAAAACAGCTTTTTGCAATTCCATGACAGTGGCAAGGGGATCCCTAGAACCTTCCGAGTTTCTTGTTTCATCAGTTTTCTTTAAATACTTAATTTGTCTTTCATTTCTCGGTAATGTTCCAAGATTTTTTGCCCCCAGGACTCCACCAATGTCTTTGACAGTTTTGAATAAGGCTCTCTTTGGGCCACTGGCAACTTGGAGATTTTCTGAGGCTTTACGCTTGGTGCTCATTTTGGTGCGTACATGCGGTTTTCCAGGTGCTTGTTTTTGGTTTCCATGACGCATGACCTAGAAGGGTTTTTCTTCGCCATCATACTTGTACTGCAGAAAGACAATGGGGTACCACTGTTTGATTTCCCTTCCATACTCAATTGAAACCATGAGTTTATGGAAGGCTTGACATGACTTGTTGGTATAGGTACGCCTTCTCACGGTTATGTCCGCTTCTTCCTCTCTAGACACTTTAGTCAACCCCACGACTTTATTATTAGCAGACGTGATGGTGTTGAAATACTTGGTCTTGCACACTTTTTGGGTCCACACACCATTGTCATCACTGTAGATGTCTTCCCTTTCTAAGTGTATGAAGGGCTAGATGGATGCTTAGTAGAGGTGAAAAAATGAAAGAAATCTTGTTGGGACAGCAAAATTGAGGCTGTGGCAGCTTAATATGGGTTTAGTTCCCTATTCTTTTCTATTTTGGGACTTTGCTTACTGACCACATAAGAGAGAGTGACTGCTTAACAAATGGCGTGTTTCATTTGAAGATTCAACTGAATGCCGAACTAAAAGATACTAACCTCCATTTCTTTTTCGTTATCATCATCATCGGATGGCAAAGGGCCATATATGTCATCAGTTGACCTGCAGAAAAATACAATACTTACTCAAGGTAGATTGAAAATGATTTATGAAAAAAAATTCTCCAACAATGTCTGAACACAGGTGGGATTTTGTCCGACACCGGCAAAGTTTGGTTGACCAGTGTCCAACAACCGACTGTTATGTGCAGCCCTTTCTCCATTCAGTGCGAAACATGGTAATGAAGCTCCTGGGATTATCAGTGACTGCCGACCCCAAAGGTTCAAATTCGAGGTGGCAGAAATGAATTTACACTCGATACTAACATCTTCCAAGAGTATGTACACACCTCCATCACAAGATATTGTCATTGTCATGTTCTGTAACAGGTTTGGGCAATTTGAAGTTAATGTAGATTCATCAAGTAAGTTGTAAGTTATTGCAGCAAGGAGGAAAATTCTATTTCTTCCTCCGTAACCAGCTGTACTGAAGTTCAGAAGTTGAGCCATTTGAAATATTTGGTATTTTTGTATTCAGTTGTGGCTATGGTCATCACGGTCACTCAGTGTGAGATACTCACCTTGAATCTAATTCTCCATCTTCACTAGTCCCACTAGAACCAATCTCAATTACTTCTGGATGTCTGGAAATAAGTGAACGAAATATATGGTGAGTGATGAACTTCCATCATTGATTGCACATGATTTACCACGTTTATAGCTGGTGTTGCATCATGATTGTGAATTGAACTTTGAAGTAGAACACCATGTCAGTGCCATATTTTAAGTGGAAAAGCGCAGAAAAATGATGCCGTAGGCAATTATTTGCAAGAGTCATCAATTATTGTGATGGAGGCAAATAAATGGTAGATATATAAACAGATAATTTTTGCTAGAGGCAAGACAAAAATAAAAAGTAAAATAAGGTACTAATAATCTTAAGAGAGATCTAACTATAAATTTTTAAGCCAAAAAAAAGAACAACAAAATTTTACATGTAATCTTTGTACAAAGCATATTCCGTAGTATTCCGACTGTATCACAACGCAAATACAAAATAACAACGACCTAAGGGAGGTTTTTGAGCCCATGAGACTGAGCAGCCTCCACCAATCCTTGTTTTCATGAAACCGCTGGACAAAAAACTTCCCTTGGGTTGATGTTATTTTGTCGCAAGGGAACCAATCACAACACGCTCAAACCTTTGCCTTTTAATGGCTTCGCAAATGCTCAAAGGTCGTTAGAACATCTTCGGGCATTTTCGGCAACGATCAGAAATCTTCCGCGCTGGCGTTTGCGGAAATCTCACTTAGACCGCGGTTTTCTTTAATAGGCAATCTTTGGACCTCTACATATCTTCCTTTGTGGGTTATTTTAAGAAGACTAATCGTTTTGTAGTTTACTTTATATGTTTTAATGAAATTGTGCATGATAAATGTTTTTTAAGTTTACATAAGCTTAAAACAAAACGCGGTTTTGTTAAACACTGGCTACATTCCGTTTAAATATTTGGCCCTTAATTACTCTTTTGATTCTCCGAAAAAGTGGACAGCTGGTTTGTATTTTCCAAAGCTAATTACGTTCGAGGTACGAGAACGCAACCCCTAATTTGTGTTGGGTGTTTTGTGCATTATTGGGTGTCCCGTGCAATTAATAAGGGAGGTGTTTTTGAGATTGCATTTTCGTCGTCGACACACATTTACCTTGCTTTGAGGCGCTTGCCTACGTAATGCCTCACTTTGACGCGCTTACTCGTGTGGTGATTCTTGTGTCCTCGCCGTTCATCTTTCAAAGGTTTTCATTCTGAGGTCTGATATTCTGTCTTCGTAAAGCGTTCATCTTTTAAAAAGTTTGCTGAATCTTCGTAAAGCGTACATCGATCTGTGTTTGCTGAATCGTCCAAAGCGTTCATCTTTCAGAAGTTTGCTGTTAAATTTTAATTTGGATTAAGCCTTCATATTTTTTCAGCATGGTTCGTCACTGTCTTTGGAAAATGTCTGCGACTCCTGGTGCATGCATCAAACTGGGTTTAGTTCGGCGGCCGTTGTGCCACAAAGTAACTTTACCGAGTTGTGTAGCTCGGTGGCCGTTGTGTCACAAAGTAAATCTACCGAGTTGTGTAGCTCGGCAGCCGTTGTGCCACAAAGTAAATCAACAGAGTTGTGTAGCCTGGCGGTGCCATTAGATCATGACTTGTAATATTTTCGGCACCGGACAAACGAACACTTTAACTCTATGTTATTTATTACGAAAAACTTATAAACCAGCCCACAGTAGCGCCACTCTCGAGTCACTGAAATCAACACGTTCGACCAAATTACTGGAAAAGTTATTGACGTGAGTCGCACACACATTCCATTGAAGGCTTTGAAAGGGTTAGTGCGAAGTTTGAATTCACATGTGAAAGCTTTTAAAACAGTAAATTCAATTTAATTCATTTTGTCAACAAGTTGATGATTGGATGCTCTTAAAAATAACAGAGAAAATTATCCGAAGAAATGTTTTGGAAGAAAGAAAAAGGAATCCCGGGTTAAGCACTAATCGGCCTTTTAGCAACTGCACCCCGCTGTAACTCGCGCCAGTAAAACAAAATGTTCTATTTACAAGCCCGACACACTCTGGCCAATGTCTCCTTCGATTACAAGCACTTGACACCGAACTATACGATATCTTTTCAAAACCTTCTTATAATGATACACAGTTTAAATAGAGGTTTCGCTGTACGCAACCCTTACGTTCAAAATATGCCATAATCATATTTATCTATATCGCAACCACCCTTCCCCCTCAACTGCTACCTGTACGCCTAACAAACATATCGAACGCACTCTCCTAAGCTCCGATTACTCCTAGTATATTTTGTATTTAAAAAGACAGTGATATTAGGGCTTTGCCTTAGAAAGACATTTTGTTCTTGAAAAAGCGTAATCGGAGATGAAACCACCTGCAGGGTTATCGATGAGAACTTTGCGTGGAATAAAAAAAAAACGGCTAACCTTTCCGGAGAACTGTCCAAAACGAGATACAATTCTTCTACAGGAGGAAAAAAGGAAAAAAGCAATGTTAATAAATTGTGTAAGGATGATAAGAGAACAGCCAAGGAAGGAACAAAGACTAACCATCGTCTGACCCAGCCATGTTGTGATGAAACAGCAAGAATCAGGTCGTTAAAACTGCACACGTGCAAGCAGAGTATACGTCATGTAAGTATAACTAAATATTTGTAATCAATCGCGAGCATCGGTCGACAGCGTCTCGTCAAATCTTTTTTTTGCACTATTTCTATTTCTGTTTTTATATTACCACCCCTACGCATGTTTCTGGACATATACTCGATCTTATCATCTCACGGTCGTCTAATGACATTAATGTATTGCCTCCGAAGTCGACAAACTACATTTCTGATCATTGCTTTACTGAATGTCAATTATCTATCCCTGGTCCTATTATGCTGGTCAAGGAAGTTTCTTATCGGAAGTTCAAACAGATTGATATGGATAATTTCAGATCGGACATTGCATCATCTGTTCTGTGCAATTCACAGTGGACAAGCCTCGAAGAACTGGCTCAGTGTTATGATACCACTTTGTCACAAATCTTGGATAAACACGCCCCCGTGAATACCAAGATTCTGACTGTAAGACCAAGACTGCCGTGGTTCAGTTTGGAACTTAAAAAACTCAAAATATCGCGGAGAAAACTAGAAAAGAAGATGTTGAAATCGAGATCATAGCAGGATAAGGATGCGTATAGGGAAGTTTGCAATAACTACTCTATGTCTCTGAAGAATGCGATGCAGAGGTATTACTCTGATCTCATTGAAGAATGTGGTGGCGATACAATAAAACTGTTTCAAGTTGTAGGATCCTTGTCTAATAAGCCTAAGGAAAATCAGCTCTCTCGCCATGATGATCCCTGCAAGTTAGCTGATGATTTTGGAGAGTTCTTTTGCCGGAAATTTGACCTAATTAGAAATGATATTGATGCTATTACTGTTGTTCCACACGTTCTAAATGTTCCTACACCTGAGAACAAGTTTGAGAAGTTTGATGTCCTCTCCGAGGAAGAAGTGTCTTATGGGCTCTTCTAATGCTAGTTGTCAGTTAGACCCGATACCGACATGGTTGTTGAAGCTGTGTGGCAGTGAACTAATTCCAGTCATAACTAAAATGATTAATCTATCCCTTCAACAGGGACAAGTTCCAGACAGTTGGAAAGCTGCTTTAATTAGACCGTTGTTAAAGAAACTGGGACTTGAACTAGTATATAAGAACTTCAGGCCGGTTAGTAATCTGCCTATGGTCTCCAAATCAGCTGAGAAGGCAGTTGTGTGTCAGCTTTTCTGGCATTGCTCTGATAATGCTCCACTTCCAGTTCAACAGTCATCCTATAGTCAGTTTCATTCAACTGGGACGGCTCCTCTTAAAGTCCAGAGTGATATACTCTCCAACATGGACAACCAGGAAGTAACTCTTCTTGTTCTTT